AAACTTCCAAATGCCCAGCTTTGCCCACACTTCTCCAGCCTACACAAGTGTATTATGCACACTCCCCCACCAGAACCAGCACCTTCAAGATGCTGGAAGTGATCATAAAATGATTACATAAACCACCCGTGCTTATGTATTTTCTAGCTAATGAGTTGCCTCTCCCACTAGATAATGCTTTCAAATAATTTTACTTTACAAAAATCCCGTGAGGAGTGGCACAATTATTGGAATGCAAGGGACAGAACCAGAAAAAGATTTGGAAAAAAGAAGACTGTGTGTTCTCAGTTCACCTGAGTTTGGAGGTCTTGTCCTGTGTGTCACTCCTGAGATAGATGAATGCCCAACTCACCCATACAGGAGATTAGCCCCCAAATGTGGTGGACCTTTTGTCATCAAAGAGAACAGACTTTGTATGTATCACCAAAATGAGGAGTGTGGAAAGCAATATCGGAGGATGTTTCTCAGAGCACTCCCAAGCCTATATGTAGCATATATTGTACAACCAGTATCTAAGATAACCAATATACAGCATTCCTCTGGCCACAATTACTAGTCCAGCAGTGAACTCGCACATTCAATAAACAATTATTGAGCACTATATATCAGACTCTGTTGTAGGCACTGGAGACACCACACACAACAAAATGGACAAGATCTCTGCCTTCCTGGACCTTACACTGGGGTGAGGAGGAGACAATATATAAATAAACATTTTATATATATGTGTGTGTGTGTGTGTGTGTGTGTGTATACATCCTTATAAATATCTTTTCATACAAGAATATATACGTATACATATATGTGTATGGGTATACATACAATGTGTGCGTGTGTGCGTGTGTGTGCGTGTGTGTGTCTACAACGTGAGAAGAGGTGGAGGAAAAGAAAGACAGGAGGTAATTTAGAGGTCTCTTTCTATTACCCAGAGGTGAGACCACAGATTTTAGATCAGGACAGTATAGCAGCAGGGAAGTGGGTGGCTTTGAGGGCTATCAGATGTAGTGATTGGTTGTACAGGGCAGGAGGGAAACTATTGTGGAAATGGTATGAGCCCAGTGTGGACCTCTGGATGGATGGCATGGCCATATACGAGGACAGGGGACAGAAAAGAGGAGCAGGTGAATTCAGCTTGGGGTGCCTGTGCCACACGTAGGTATCCACAGGGCCGTTGGATATGTGGCTGGAACTCGGCCGGGAGACTTAGAAGATAAAGATTTGAGAGCCGCCTACACAGAGCTAGTAACTGAAGTCAAGGAACTGTATTTGTCTCAAAAGGGGGCCTCAGAATGAAACTGTAAAAGAACGTTAACGTTTAAGAGGCAAGCAGGGGGACAGTTGTAGAGTGTTGTGTCTTGGAAGCAACGGATGGAAGCATTTCAAGAACGTCCGCGAAGAAGCAGGGGCAAGAGATCGATCGATGGCCAAAGTTTATGTGTCTTAAAGGAAAACTGCTACAACTGATTATTTGGGTACCCGGGGCCCCCAGTTATAGTGTGACAAACGGCGCCATCTAGTGGGCAGTAAGATGAACAGACGAGTGAAGACCGATTTTCTTGATGGTTGATAATCACATCACGTTGGAGTTGGAGTGAATCTCAGCAATAATATTTTACAGCCAAAAGCATAGACCACAGCGACTAAGCCTGACTTCCCCACAACTTATGCCAGCTCCCCAGTGAGGACGCCAGGATGAGTACCTGGCTTGTCAGCTCCCAAGCCTCACGCATTACACTGCCCTGCCACCAAGGGGACGGTAGATCACAGAAAACACTCAGACCCGGGGGCACTGTGACCGAGGTGTCCCTGGGGCCCCCCTGTTCCTTAGGATCTGCACACGGTTTGGATCAGACCCCATTCCCTTACCTTGAGGAATGTCCAGTGCCTTCCAAGGCGTCTATGAATCCCCAGACACCTCGGGTTCCTGAATCTTCCTCCAGCGAATTCCCATCTGCAACTCTTACTTTTTAGGGCTGTTTCTTTATCTCAGCCTTGGCATCAACCCACACAGGGAAACAAACTGTTTCTATGGTACCAAGATTGCGATCATCAAAAACACCCATCTGAGGCCAACATGGACATGAAGGAGAATTGCGCGTTACAAAGACCTTTTTGTGACTAATTTAACTATTCCACCATGTTACATTGGTTTCTCTTCCTTCTTCAATGCTTTCAGGGAGAAAACCATTTTTTCACATTGTCTTTTATAAAGAGTGTGACCATATAACTCATCTTCTAAACCAGGACACTTTTGAAAGTAAAAAGGGCACCAAAAACAAACATATAGATATAGATAGAGAGATAGAGATAGGGATAGAGATAAATATAGATACATAGCACCGTGTACGTACATGGTAGAAAGTTCGCGAACTTAATTGTCTGATCTCGTAGCTAGAGATTGAGAGAGCGAGAGAGAGAGAGAGAGAGAGAGAGAGAGAGAGAGAGAGAGAGAGAGAATATAGATATATAAAATCTTCACTTGACTGACAAACTGGTTTTATTTTATTGACAGACCTTTAAAATAGTACTATACAAAAACTGTTTTGAAAAATAAAATTCTCTTTTAAAATGGCATGTATCTGTGCACAAAGAAAAATGTGAAAAAGGTAAAAAACTTCATCAAATTGATTGTATAAGCATTAAAAAATAACATAAACATAAGCAGAATAGTTACTGTATAATTTAAACTGTTTAAGTACTGGTCTCTAAATCTGTGTCACCAGTATTTTTCTGAAGAATGTAGTGATTTGTTATTTTTAATTCTTTCATAAAACTGTCAGAAATTGTCTTCAAAGTTACATTTTATGGCTAATAAAATTGAAAACATTGAGACAGAAAATAGCCTCTCTAGAAGAACCTGGTAAGCTCAGAGCAAATTCTGCTACATGAGGAATATTCTCAATTCAAACTTTCTGTATCTCAATATTTAAATAATCCAAGTGTCACAGGTACAGTCTCTTTGCCTCTATTCATAGCACATTTCTTCCACAAGCCATAACTTGTTAAGTACGTTATCTCCATTGATAAGTTTTTTGAACACTTCACCACATTTAGATCAGGCAACAATGAGGGCCTGAGTTTTATTCTGTTCTGGTAAGAAATACAAATATGCCCAATTAAAAAAACAAGTTCTACTAAAAATTCTCCCACCAGTTGCAATATTCTAAAGTTCAGTTACAGAATTTCAAATTTAAATCTTGTACACATTTGAGCAACTCTTGTTCTTTAAATTTATTCAGCTTCCCCCCCCCTTTTTTTTTAGTAATTAATTTGAAATGTCTTCTCGTCTGAGAGTTTTCTGTTCAATAATTGCAAATAGCTAAAAGCACCAAAAGCTGAGATTTGGGGGTGCTCTGTTCTTTATATGCTTTGATTGGAGACTTACCACTGATGGTGAACAAAATGCAACCAAAAGTTTAGAGATTTGTTTATCAAAAACAGCCACAAAACCTTAAGGCTAGAATAGGACATGAGATGGTTTACAACATAGGTTTTCAAAGATTCAAGCATTTCTAAAATCCAATTGCTAATGGCTTCACAAAAGTTCTGTAGTTACTCTGTGTATACATTTAAAAATGTATAAGTTTTTACAACTGCAACCTCTATTTTGGTAAACACAGTATATTTGGACACAATTATGAGTTTTGTGAACATCACAATCTATTCCAAGTCTATTGCTATTTCATGAGGGTTTTAATTTAAAAAATAAAATGGCTTTTATTGTAACATTGAGGTCACCAAAGTTTCTATTTATCTCATTGCTATACAAATAAATAATTTTATCTTTAATGTTAAACATTTTAACTAAATTTACTATTCAATTCATAATAATGTCAGA